TGTTCCTGCCACTGCAGCCAACTCTGGGCTCCCCGTTCCCAGCGAGCAGCCTCCTGCCCTCCAATCTTCTCTGTCATCCCCTTCTGACGACACTTGCCTCTCCTGACAGCAGAGAGCCGCTTCTGCTGTGTGCTGCTTCGGTCCTGTCAGTCTCACTCCTCCAGTATACCTCCCCAAAAGCAAAGCCCAGGGGAAAGCCCCTGGGTGGTAAGGGAAGGGTGTTTCACTTTTCCTGCCTCTTAGACTGGGGGGGGTTGTGTTTTAATTATTCCACTTCTCTCAGTCCAGCAAGAGTGTCCAAAATTAGGACAACACTGAAAGCTTATCCCTGGAGCAAATAATTTTTATTCTGGCAAGCTGGTAGCGTTTTGTTACCATTATCAAGATGATGAGAGAGGGCAGTAGATTTTTTTTTCATGTGACCAAATTTGCAGATTTCCATGAGGTTTCTGAAAGGCTGAATGAGCACAAACATATTTCCACAATTAAATGTGTCATATGCAGCAGAGCTAATGCCAGGCCAGGATGCTGACACTGTCAACATGGCATTTGCAGAACAGACTCACGGCTCACACGGAATTAGTGCCGTCAAAGGATTACAGAAATGTGTGACTTCAAACTAATCTACTTCATAAATCTTTTAATATGAATTTCACAAAAGCCCTCATCAAAATGCCATCATATATGATGTAACATAGCATCGACCTAGCTGACAAAGAGCATTAAATGGTCTCTCTGCATGATTGCTGATGCTCCTACCTGTTGCATGGCCATCCAAAACTTGCGTTGGAGCAACTCCAGCTTAATTTGTACACCCACCGCTATGGGAAACAAAAAGGGAGGAGGACAAAAAGTGGAACGTGCAAGAGAGAAAAAGACAAACACAAGTTAGGAAAGGAGGGTTAAATATTTGCCCGAAGTGATGGGATGGAAATTGCAATTGCAACCTTCTTCCAAGTGTGAAGGATAAAGCATCGGGGGATCAGCGCTGAGTCAGACCGCCAAATGAGAGTCAGAGGTTTAACAAGGTGGAGGGAAAGGGGACACTGACTGTACCGAGGTACTAACACCTCTCTCCCACTAAACACTACAGAGCTCCAAACAAATTAACAAACAAACAAAAATTTCCCACAAAACCCCCCCAGGAGAGCAAGAGCGTGAGCTTTCATCTTTGTCTTTTGCAGATTTGCCTGGCCAGAGCGGATGTTTCTGATTACCCCAGCCTCAACTCCTGCACCACACAGCATCAATCAGAAATAAAGTAGGCCAGTGTGAGGAAGGGATTAATTCAAAACCCCACCTGTCTCAAGGGGAGACCACAGCGATTTAGATTGCTCCTAAGCCACTACAAAAGCACAAAAATATGAATGCCACTTGATGGAAAAGCGTCGATTAGTAGTAGCGCTTCATTACTCAGTCCCAGCCTAGTGCACGCTCTGCTAAGCAGAAGTCTCTGTGTGTGTGTGTTTCTTAACGAAGTGCGTCCTAATTTCTTGGCTTAATTTCTCTTCTATTCCCAGCATCACGTTCCCGAAGCAAGGCATTGCTCCACAGGAGAAGAAATGGTGCAGGGTCTCCCCGACAGAACAACCTAGCTTTCCCCAGGTAGGTTGCCTACAAGCACATGTAATAACCAGCGCAGTCGTGCGCAGCCTGGCACGGTGACAGGGAACAACAGGGCTGATCGTCAACTAGTTGAATCCAAGAGCTCTGCAGGAATTACAGTCTCAAGCAGGACCTTGAAATAGAATATGAAGTGCAAGTGAGGGAGAAAGAGAAGAGAGGGAGAGTTTGAGCCTTTTTTCATCACCACAAATATCGGGCGGTTGAAGTGTTGCTGTTTTTTACAGATTTCCTCTGAATTAGCAGGAGCTTCAAAGAGGGGAACAGATCCTTTAAATCTGAATCACGCTGTGTGGGTGCTTTTAAGTTAACAGTATGATCTGATGCTGTAATTCAGATGGGTATGAATTAAAACTGGAGTATGCAATGGTGTATTTTCTTGCAGCATGTACAGAGACCCTGGCACCCGGCATCAGCTCTGCCTTTATACCAGTGTCCTTGTCACATTCCCACCACTGGCACATCTTACAAAACCCATTCACAGGCGCATTTCTTACCCAGCTCTCCCTGCTGTGGACTGAACCTGACTGCCTGTATGTAGTGGAAAACAACAATTTTGTAGAGCTGCCTTGCCCAAAGCCTCACAGAGCACAAACCAGACAACACAAAGAATGCAAACAAAAGAGGAAGGGTGGGGCTGAGTCCATCCCAGGTGAAGATTCATCAGCTTCAGCGGGGCTATCACAGGCATGGTTTGGCTTGGTGCGACTGCTGACAAATTGGCAGTCCATGCCAGAAGGAAATGGTGCTGTTGTTGCTGAGTCCAATGAAGCCCACGCATCCGATTTGGTATGTAGCTTAAGTAACTTCATTGTTATCCTTTAAAACCATCTCAAGAAAGAGTTATTCCCTTTATCACAGCAGATCACATCAATGGGACCGAGCATTACCCGGGACATACAGTTTTTATGAGAATTGAAGTGGAGTTGATAACTACATAACTAATCTTGCAATGCAGAGACTTACTCAGTGGCTTACATTTTTGCCAGAGGGAACATCTAGCCTCACGTTGTTTTTCAAAGGGAGCTTAGCCCCTGGTTGTGAATCCTTGCCTCTGCCCAGGAGGCATGAGTAGCATGTACTGAACTTGGACAGAGTTGCCTGCAACACGAGAAAGGACAGCACCCAAGGTGGTGGCTGGTAGCAGGGATAGAAAGCAGATTCTCCCAGCTCTCTTCTTCCTCTTTCCACAGTGCTCACAACCACGTCTAACCCGTCTGTGCCATCTGTCAGCAAGCCTCATCTTTCAGATGCAATCTTTGCAGCCCTAATCCCCCCAAAGGGCTTGCGCTTACTCGTGCCCTCTGCACTAGCCCTTCCTTTCCTTCCCAGCGGTT